AACAAAAGCTCATCTTTCAAACCGGCAGTCTAAATCCCACAGGGATCAACGAACGCTTTTCCGTTTCACTAATTGGAGCGAATAGGGGTTGTGTGTGCTTTTAAAGGCAGAAAAAAGAGCTACGTGTGCCTTTAAAAGCACGCACAACCCACAATTCCCCTATTCACTCCGATGAAGGGCTAACGCTTGAAACATCAGCTTTTCTAATCGTAACGGTGGCCAATTTACCATTTCAACTTTGTTGATATATTCAAATTATTAGTCAGATAACTGTTTCAACTCTGTTTATCTTTGCTTATCAGGTGATAATCAGGGTGGTTTCTTTTTTACAAAATATTTGTTCATAAACAAGAAATAATATTTTCAGTAATTTTGAACGTTGTTACTTTTGAGCACAGTAAGCCATCTGAGTAAAAAAAAAATGCTAGTCACTTCAGTTGTTCATGCAAGCTCATTAATTATGATCTACAATAATTATGTTTTTTTTTTCTGTAGCAACTGACAATAACACTCATGTCAGACTGGACTGACAAACTTGTAGAATTTGAAAAAGACCCAAGAAAGCCAGATACGTTGCGCCCTGAAACATTCACAGCTGACCAAGAATGGCACTTATGTAGAAATGTGGTCACTGAATCAACAAGTACTGTGTCATCAGAGGGGAGCAGTGCTAACGACTACCCTCTCTATCATATAAAGTGTCATGTTAAGAGAAAAAGTGGCTACTACCTCTGGAATATTACTATGATTATTGTAAGTGCAAGCCAGAGTTGGTCTTAGCTTGTTGTTTTACTTAGTTGGGATACTTTGAGCCAGTTATTTACATGAGGTCTAACCCGAACCATGGTTTTTTACAGAATCAGTGGACCTTTGGCGTTCACTAGAAGAGGGTTGATTTAATTAAATAAATGTCCTTCTGCTGTTAGCTTTAAGCCTTCTTGACACTGTTCATAAATTAAAATAAATGTTCAGATAAAAGGTCCAGCCAAATTGAGGATTGTTTAGGATGTGGGTTTTGTTAAACAACAGCTAAATTTAGAATTTGACAATTTAAATTCAGATGGGAAGGGTAGTAGAGGGAAAAGGGAAAGAGGGATTTTGGGGTGAAAGGTGAAAGACGAAATTTCAGAAAATGTGGGAGAATAATAATTAATGTTAACTATCATCATACAAATACTTACAGCTCTGGTAGAACCACATCTGATGTGCATTCTGAGCATCCTAGCCATTAAAGGTGAATGCCGTAGATCCATGCATGTGCAGGCACTGATGATTAGACAGTCATACTCAATTCATGCCCTGAAGAATGTTGGGCTGTCAGTTGTCAATATTTATTTTCCATAGTCCATTACTGAGGGGGGCATTGTGGCCTATGGGAAACCGCAAAACCGGAGAAAAAAACCTCCAAAACCGAAAAACCAACCAAAAAAGGCAGCAAAACTGAAAACCGCATGCAAACCTGACAAAACCGCTACATTTTTATCTTTAAAGGGGTCAAAAAGGAAAAACCGAAAACCGCATCAGAGTTTTCATGAAAACTGAAAACTGAATGCAAAAACATGTAAAATCTACAAACCGCTCTGAACATCAAAACCGAAAAACTGAACCTTTTTGGCCCAAAAACCGAAAAACCGATCCAAAAAACAGTCAAAACCGAAAATGCCAAAGCCCCCCTCATTACTACACCGCTTTAAATGTTTGATTGTTAGGGCTGGGATCAACTCCATAAGTCAAGAGGCAAACGGTTGAGGGGTAGAGCTACTTGATGCGCAGAGTAAGAAATTTTGATCCCCTACTTTCATCCATGTGGCTGGGTTTTGAGTTAAGATATATGGTCAGTGTTCAAGATATTTAAAATTCTTACAAAAATCAAGTTATGTATCAATTAGTTAATTATGGAGGCGGCATGGCCGAGTGGTTAGGGTGCTGGACTTGAAATCCAGTGGCCCGGGTTCAAGTCCTCCACCCTGCCACTCACTGGATTTGTTCTCGGTTGCCCCTAGTTCAACTCCTTGGCTGCGCTCTGTAAATAGCTCACTGGTCGCCTCCTACCAGTGGGGATTTTTAAGCAATTATTTTATAACTTCTTAATACAGCCCACAATGTAAACTACTGGGTTACCAGTAAGAGTGTTAGCTATTAAAGTTTATTATTATTATAGTTTATTATTAGTTTCGTGCCAATTGGACTCTATTTCCCGGGTGGGAAGGTAGCCACCTTAACTGATATAGGTTAGATGACCATTGGGTTCTGTTTTGTTTTGCAGTTTCTCATTTCTCTCTTATCATTCTGTTCATTTTCTGTGGAAATCTCATCGCCTTCTGATCGACTCAGCGTCACATTAACCCTCTTGTTGACAGCAGTAGCTTTCAAGTTTGTTGTTTCACAGAGCCTACCAACTATTTCATACTTGACATTCCTGGTGAGTGTTTGTCTCCCATTGTAACACAGTGAGGAAATGTTTTAGAGGGAAATTTGTAATTGTTTTAGCTTCCCTTTGGAATGGCTTAATTTTCATAGGCACCACTTAGTGGGATCTTTGAAAAATTAAATTTTGGATCCAGAAATTGGGGTGTAATTTACAGATAGTGTACCTCCCTTTATGGCTTTGTCCAAATGTTCAGTTTAAATAAATAGGGTGCAAAAGGAACACAGAGTGATAAAAAGAGGAGTTTAAAGCAACATATTCCAAATTGACCTCCTTTTTGCCCACCCACCTACTGAATTCTTGCCCATTCACTCACCAAATTCCTAGAACAACCCAATCTCCACTTCCCCCATTTCCAGTACTTGGTAGTTTTGACAGTAAAAGGATGTTCCCTCTTACATGAAAGAGCCACAACAACAAGGCAAGGTCTTGATTAAGTTCATTAGTTATTTCAGTCATTATCAGCCTTCAACAGAGTCCTCAATCAAAGTTCTCTACCTCTATAGCCAGAAGAAAGACCAAAGTACATAAAATTATTTTTTCCTCCAAGGACAAATACGTTTTGTGTGGCCTTCTTTTCCTGGGTTGCATGGCCATTGAAAATGCAGTTGCTGCCATCATTCCAGACGTACCAACTCAGAAAGATTTTGATCAAATTTGTTTATACGTTGCCGTTGGCTGCTTTGTTTTCATCCATGGGGTGTTCTTGGTTTTTGTCTTTGACAAGGTGAGAATGAAGCTTTTAAGCTAACACTTTTTCATTTTTAATACTATTCTCCTATAAGAATTAGCATTCTCATGACCAATTGTTACTCTTGTGAAATTTCTTATACTTTCTTCCAGTCAAGAGCAAGAAATAGAATCCTCTCTGAAAATGACAAGAAATTCCGGGTAAGATTCTCCATTGAAGACTATTCTCTGTCTTTACTACACACATCAGGGTAACAAGAAAATACAAAAGAAAGCCATGTGAAAGAGAAAGGCACTCATGGTTTCCATCAAGTAATAATATAGATCTTCACTCAGTGTTGGCTATTAATCCTTTAACTCCTAAGATATCTTTGGAAATTGTTCTTTCGTTCTGTCACACAATTCTTATGATATTACTTCCGCGAATTTGGTATTGGATCAAGTAGTAATCCCGAAATTTATATTTTTCTTTATTCTCATCACTTGGCTGCTTGATATTGCATTAATACTGTAAGGAGAAATTACATCTTGGTCACTCACGGGAGTTAAAAGGGTCAATACACTAATTTCTCCTTAGAACCACAACAAAAAACATGATGTAAGGGCAGTGAACAGAAAGTCTTTTAAAAATACTCATAACTTGTCTGTTTATTTTAGGAGATGTTGCAGAGTGTAAAAAATTATGCGATGGAACGAGAACAAAGAACAATACAGGAACCTGAAGCAAAAGATGTAGAAAGATCTCAACAAGACAAAGTTTTGGTTGTGCAGGCTTCCCCCAATCAGGGAGAGGAATAATTTAACCATCAAACTCTTTGTAACCAATCAGGGCCATTGCCTAGATTTGCAGTCTTTGTAATATCAATTTGCACTTTAAATTGGTTGCCCCAAACCTCCATTTCCCCCACCACACTTACACATGTATGCACCGTGGCTTCATTGTAGGAGGCGGTGTGGCCGAGTGGTTAGGGTGCTGGACTTGTAATCCAGTGTCCCGGGTTCAAGTCCTCCACCCTGCCACTCACTGGATTTGTTCTCGGTTGCCCCGAGTTCAACTTCTCGGCTGCGCTCTGTAAATAGCCCACTGGTCAGCCTCCTGCTGGTGGGGATTTTTAAGCTCTTAGTTAGTCTACATTGTGGCTGAAAAGCCCCTAAGGGGGAGCTTCAATTAACGTATATTATTATATATTATTATATTATTATTGTCTCTGTAGTATCATGACTACTACACTAGAAAACAATTCTGAATTGGTTTCGTGTACTTAATATATGCATTTCATGGAAAAAGCACAGGATCAAACCTGAGAAGGACCCTTTCACAAATTCTTTTTATGTGGGAATTTTGCACCATGGGATCTCTACTGCTACCATCTGAAATTTGTTCAAACCTTGGATGGCTTAATTTATGACAAAAATAAAAAAGACCCAGATGCATGTTGTTCTGTGAGAGGAGGTTATGAAGATAAAAACGTTTTTACTTGCCAATGTGGCATGTAGCAGGAAACTACCATTTTGACTGTCATTTTTTTTAATGTGGTTCCAACTTTCATTTGCATTGCAGCTTTATCTTATTGACAGCTTATCAGTTCTTCATCTTTGTTTGTTCCTTTATTGATTTGTGTTGATCATTTTCAGAAAATTTTTAGTGGTTTCTTGTTTGTAAACAAGATTAAAGGCATCACTGACATGGATCCTTTTGAACCTTTTGGATACAGTTGGGTATTTGTTCTGAAAATAGGATACACTCATGGAAAAGATTACTATGGAGAATAGCCAAAAATGTCAAGCAAACCCTTATCATTTACCGGCTTTGTAATGTTTATATGCTTTATTGTCTTCAGAACCAAACGAAGAGCAAAACAGCTAAAATCAAACAGGCACAAGCTCCTTTTATCAAGTCTTGCTTTATTAGTTGGCTAACAGTAAAAAAGATGAACCAATAAGAAGAGACTTGAACAAGACAAGGAACACATATGTCTTACTAGCTCTTATTGTTGGAAACACTGTAGAAATTACTATCCTTCAAATTTGCATGCCTACACTGTTCTGTGGCTTTAACGAGTGTTCACTTGCGATCTGTAATTTAAAGGCCCCACCAGATTATTACATGTAGGTCTTCTGGTAAATTCAGTTTAAGATGAATATCTTTCCACTACCATTGCATGACCCTAAAAGAAAGAAACATCATTACACTTGTGGACTGTCAATCTAGATCTGAATTTGTTATTCACAAGTCTTGGTCTGGGGAAACCGGACCCATACAATGTACCCGGGGAAAAGGTTGTGATGCTGGGCAATGACATGGCATGGCTTCTCCTGTAAAGGGTTATGATGCTAAATGAAACTCAACCATCACTGGAAATTTCCACAATAAGGAACTGTGTTTTTCTAACTAACTAATGTGACCTGTTATATATTTAAGTACCTGTTATGGCCCATCTGTGATGGGGTAACCTCTCACTCTTAACCATGATCAAACAGGTGTCTAAAGTTGTAAGTCTACAAAACTTGTTTTACAAGTCACGTGGTGAGAGTTGGTTTAGTAAAAATTTCAACTGCAATCTAAACCCTTGAACCTTTCTTACTTCACGACAAACCTCGTTTTCAAATCTTCATATATTCCAAGCTTACTTACCAGACCTCCAGCAGCACATGCAGCAACTAGCCCAAATTGACCACCTTCCTTAAGAAGTCGGTTAGCAGTTGTAGTGACCAATCGAACTCCAGTGGCACCAAATGGATGACCAATAGACAGGGAGCCGCCCCAAGTGTTTAATTTTTCCATTGGAGGTACCCCAACCTGTTAAGAGACAAAGCAGTTCGAGTACCAATGAACTGGTTACCTAGAGAATTATTGGAAAGCAATCATTTTCTAGTGTATGGTTAGCCAGAATGATAATGGCATAAGATAACAGTAATTATTAAAAACTGGATCATTGGATAATGCAATTCAAGACTTTTTATTGGCTTAGCCAGTAAGGTATATGAGCCAATATACCATAATCTACATATGGTAAGTGTATGCGTCAGCTTAAAATTAAAAGGGAGCTAAAAAATTTTAAAAGTCGAGAAGATTTGTCTAATATCTTAGGGCGTTTTTAATAAAACAATTATTCCACTCGCGCTTGTTTGATAGGAGATGATTATAGCCAACTCGGCGCTATGCACCTTATTGGCTATCTATCATCTCATATCCAACAAGTGCTCGTGGAATAATTGTTAATTGTGAAATCTATGTGAAATCTTATTGGCAAATATCATGAAACCTTTGGGATGACCCAACAACTTTTTGGCAGCTGACAAGAGTCACATTCAGCTAAGAGGGTTTTAACCAGGAAATCTTTGCTATTCTAACACCATTCTCAGGTTCTTCACAACTTTCACTTGCAAAGATATACCACTATTACTTTTGATTTGATTCTCTAACCTTGGAAGTTCTTCCCATGTAGTTTTGTGCAAACCAGTCTGAATCCATGGCTTTCAAGTTGGCCAGAATTTGACCCTTCCAAAACAAAACCAACAAGTTGCATGAAACAATTCGTCAAGTGTAAATGAAGCAAAAATAGGGTCTTGTGACAGTTAAAATGCAAACTCACTGCAAATGCTTCGTGGTATTCAAAAACATCAATGTCCTGCAACTTGAGGCCAGCTTTATCCAGAACTTTGGGTGTGGAGTAAGCTGGTCTGTAAAGTATAACGGTGGTGAAACTATCCATTAATGCCACATAAGATTTACAATGTCCAAAAGAAGAGAATTCTGGGCTCAAATTCACTGTATTTAGAAATATCAAAATTACCCTAGTAAAAGCTGGTCTTTGGGATCCTGTGAGACGTATACAAAGTCCCTATGGAAAGAAGGGCAAGAAATGAACAAAAGCTATAAATAACTGAGAAATGAATGGAATTTAATTTAATTTATTAGATTCGCCGACAGGCAAGGACACTGCAACAGCTTGCACCGATTACTGCGGGCCCAGTACACCCACCCATCCCACCCCAGGGGAGAACATCCACCATACAGTAATCTCGTGCATGGGAAATTAACATCTCCTATCCCTCACTCTGCAGGAGACGGAGCCTACAGTTTATTCATCTTTATCCGAGAAGACTAGAATATCTATCCATTTCTTGATATTACAGAAAGGTAGCAAATTCTTTTCAGTTATTTTAAGACCCTGAGTGTTGGTCTGGCTGGGGCTTGAACCCTTGACCTCCCGCACAACAGTCCGGCCGGCACTCTACCAATTGAGCTAACAAGGAGGCGGTTGATTGTAGCATAAGGAAGAATGTACCTCAGGTATGCTTTGGGTTTGTATCCCATCTCCAAAGCTTTGTCTTCGCTCATTATCAGGCAAGCAGACGCTCCATCTGTCTGTAAAAACATTAAAAGGGGCATGTAGCAGAATTTCAAGTATGAGAGGTAAACCATCACTTCACCCTTTTTAAATCTTGGGTTCCCTGGGAGTGCTCTTTGCAGTCTCTCTCTAAGGTGTTGCACTTGTTATAACCTTTCTTAACTCTGCAAAAACTGTTCTGTTCTGGCTTACCTCACAGGTATATTTGAACAATCCTTATAGTGTGGATACGATCCAGAGAACTGAGACCCAAAGAGATTGTGTGAGTAGAGATTAGGATGAGATAGAGTGTGGCAAGCCTCAACCCTTCTCTTCTTGCTACCCTACTCTGTTCTATTTCCTGGGTTGCAACACTCGATCGTAGGACAGAAGACCAGCAACAAAACATATAATTATATTATGCTTTGAGCATGAAGGCAGTCCTTAAAGCTGAGAAGTGTTGCCTGAGCTAGTTTTTCTGAATCAGATTTCTCCTTAATCGAAGAATGTAAATGTTTACCTTGATTCATTTAAAGTTAAGTCTGATGAGACATTAAGTATTAAAGCTTGGGTTATCCCCCATCTTTCACCACAAAGGAAAGGGGAAAAATGGAAAAGGCTAAAGGACTAACCAAAAAGGAAGCATTAGCTGCCGTGACAGAGCCATGTGGTTTGACAAATGCTGGTTTTAATTTTGCCATCTGCTCCATTGTAGAGACACGGATCCCATTATCAGCTGTCACAGTTACATTATGACCTACAAAAGTAACAAATTAAACTTTTCAAAATGCCAGCCTGTCTTTGCATAGTCAGTATTTTCATTTCATTAGCAAGCTAAGGCCTCAACCACACTTTTACATTTTTTAATAAGATTCCATTTTTTTCTTGTACAAAATGAAGCGCCATATTTTTTTAATAATCCATTAGCCTTTGCCACTCAAGAAATAGAGCCATCAAAAATTGATGCAGGTTCAGCACACTTCATGTCACATCACAAAGTTGCTGTTTTTTTGAAAAAAAAAAACAAACAAACAAACTAGTGTGGATGGAGCCTTTAATAGAAAGGTGCTCGTGGGAAAAAAGCTATTTTCTAGCCAAACTTTTGGTCATTAAGAGTTTTTCTTTGGGGCATCAATTAATTTTTGTGACTTATTTTTGTAATTCTTTTGACAAAAAAATTCCAAATTGATCCATTGTGAAGAGTGAGGTCTTAACACACATTTAGTTTCTGACATACCAGGTACTTTGTAAGGTACAACATCTTCCAACTTTCCAGCCTGAAAAAAGAGAAACAGAAATACTTAATACCACAGTATACATGCATGAAGACACACTGTGATTTGGGGCAACTTAAGTAAAGCCATTAAAAAAATGGTTGGACTTGCTTGTTACAAAATCATTATCAATAATCATTAATTATCAAATATCAAATGAGTGTTAATGCTCTAAATTTCCTTACACTTGCTGCTTGATGTGCCAGCGTGTGAGATCGTAGGGCATATTCATCCTGCAATGTAAAAAGTATTTCATTCTTAGGTGTTTTTGAGTTCATTTTTTTTTTTGTGGTTCACATAACAAGTTGGTGGGCCAATAACCAAGAAAAAATTATTCAAATACATAATCTAGTTACTAGGCAATCTAATTACACTGGCTGATAAATGCAGATAGAAAATAATAAACAGACAAATAAA